TTTGCCAGCTTCGATGCACTGACAGCTTAGTATTTCTCAAAAACGCTAATACCCCTCCTCGCGGAGTTATTGTGTCAGTCTAGAACTGCAACGAATGTTTACTATTTTACCGTTTTTATCCATCCTACATGCCCCAAACTGGCCTACTCTCACGGCATACACACAGTCTAGAGATTAGCTAGGGCCGTCGTCATCTGGCTCCCAGTCCATTCAACAGTCAATAAACACACAAAGAGCCTTTGAATAGTTTTTTTTATCCTGCCCAAATGCCTCATTTTTTTGCCTACTCTCACATTCTACAGCACTTGCTTGCCGCAAAGCACAAGGAGAAACTTCCACCGAAGCCGCTTCGCTATCTGGAGCGAATTGAGAAGCCCTTACCTAGACCACCTACTCCCACTGTTGCGGACTACAATGTAAGTACTGCAAACCTATACCTCTCATCGGCCCTTTCTACTTTTTTTGTTCGAGCTACGATTCTCGCTACAACATTTGAACAAAACTTTCTCTAAATACTGACAGCAACACAGGCGTTGAGAGTAACCAGAGGAGGGAGGTTATGTTTTAAATCTCAACCGGGAACGTTGTGCTACGCTTAGCATAAATGTCATCAGCTCTTGTAGAAAATTGTCCGGCAGTTAATTGCTGCACTTTGTTCATGCTGAGGGACACTCCATATTTCGCCAGTAGAGTCGCTTCATTATTCCAGTGAGGTGCCAGGATATCTCATACAATTAAAAAAGTGATCGCGGTGCGTGGTAAGGAGCAGGCAACTGTTACTGCAACGTTACTGCTTAAAACTTTGACTGCGACTCCCAAAAATAGCCTGTAATTTGTGACATGCAGCTTGTGGTGACGGGGATTTTCCGTGCAATCAGAGGTCTAGCGGTCGCCATGTATTACCTTCCTCTAGAAGGTCTTTTCCCACGTTAGTACATGGGATAACCAATTTTCTCATCAAACACCTCCACACTTGTCATTATCTTTAAATCATAAACATTAAAAGTGTTGGGCAAGCGACGATGCAAAAATTGTACAGCCCTTGAATATCCGATACTTATTCCCATATTGGAAACGTAGTTATAGACTTTGAAAAAGCCCACCTTATAAGACAAGGCGGCACCTGCCTTCTGTCCGCAAGAAGATTACGCTCTTTTTAATACAACGATATTTGGAACCCCTATAAACAACAAGTAAACTGTGGCCCGCATGACTGACATGCAGTAAAGTAGCTGTGTCATATGTGAGATCGTAAATTCAAATGGCTGGGTAGGCATTTCCTGTTTAGTTAGATGGGCAGACCATCACATACCGAAATACATTAAGGGTTTATATTCCGGTACATTTCCGGCCATGTTATTTAGTCAAGTCTAATGGCCCGGTAAGGAAGATGCCTTAAATAGTACCCATTCACGTGCTTAGGCGCTACATTAACTAATTGACAGCACCGCCAACTACTTAAGACAATTCACTACTCAACCAAACTTCTGTGGTGGCTCTAAAAGTAACATCTTCTGGTACTAAACCGGAAAGGATACATGCATTAATTAAGACTCCTTATATCCATGTAGCTCCTTCGGCGAGCAGGAGATTAAATGACTTAACTATGTCCATCGGAAGCGTCCTGATTATTAACACTTTGACTGCGACTCCCAAAAATAGCCCGTAGTTTGCCATATTGCGTGTACCACATATGGCGCACGTCGCAGTCAAAGTGTTAAGGAAGTCCGAATTGAATCCTAACTCAGCCCAGTTCTTCCCCCTAATTCCGATATATACAGTAGACGCCCTTGATCATGCAGTATTTTGACATATGCGAAAGACTAATACTCTTTCCCTAATCGGAATTGACTCCAGTTGTGATAATGATTATTTTGCAGTCTATTCTGAAGTCATTTCAGTCAGTCTAGGATGCCGGCTTTTTAACGAG